AAATTATCATTATTTTGTGTTACTGTCACAAGTTTACGAAATGTATGACTGCGGAGGTGATGTCGCAATCATCATATTTCATTTTCACGTGTGATTTTAGATATCTCACAATAAATTCAACAATACATAAACATGTGATTTGTCGAGATATACACAGAAACCATAATGACATTTATTTTCTAACACCATCCTTTATAATGACATATGTGGTCCAAAATGAAGGGTTTTTTAGCCGACTGACTTCTAAACGTGATTTTTGCAGTAAATTTAGCTGGAATATTTAGATAATCCTAATGTAAATTTCACAAAACATACAAATTTAGAAATAAGATTTGAAGACCTTTGCCACGCTTACCTTCAAATTAGTTTCTTCCATCAATAATCCATAATATATTACTATTCGAACTGCATTTCTTTAAACTTTTAGTCATTATTGTTGAAGTGCTTTTGTTTTTTCTTTCTTTTTTTTTTTAATTAGTTAATTTTAAGAGATGAATGTAAAAATATTTGCAACTAAAAGTACCAAAGTAATTAATTAACCCATTTTGATATAAACTTAAGCACCATTTCTTATAGATCAAGGTAACCCTAATTAATTGACAATTATAATTGATCTGAAAAACGATCAATATGGGGCTATAGGACAGGTCTAACGATTTAACAACTATACTTTTTCAACAAAAATATTACCATAAGAAACATAAACTAAAGTATGATATTTTATAATTTAAGTATACATTTTGTTGAAGAAGTATGACTGGTCTATCCATAAAATGATTAGTTTGTCGCATACAAAAACTTGTGTTAGACGAATTATATAGTAAATTGTTATCAATCAAACAATCTAGTTACATTCCTTGGTGTGTCAATAGTTGCTCAAACAAACTTAAGAGTCATTAATATAGTATAATTAGACACTAATCATCATCATGTAACTTCAAATTTGAGGTATGAGACATGGAATTAATTTCTTGTGATTTGTAGTATGACACAGACTCTTGACCGGTACCAACATTGCTGCTTTAATCCTCAAGATAATTGCGGGGAAAAAGAAACACAGGTTTATGAGTTGGTCCAATTTTTCACGCACAATTGCTAATATTTAAGGGATAAGTATAATTCACATATATTATCAAGGCTAACTTATTGCATATATATATATATAATTTGTCTGTACACAGAGCTGGTTCCATGAGGTCGCCAAATTAAAGGCCAAGTATGAATCTCTACAGAGAACTCAGAGGTCATTGTCACTTTTCTTGTACATTATTTTAAATTACGCTTATATATTATTATTTTTTTCACTTTTCATTCAATCTAGTATTCTGCATTTATATATTTAAATGTTCTATTGTTAGTCTAATATTCGTATATAATATGTTCTACATGAATTGATGGATTTGTTGATGACATAGTTATCTCAAGATAAAAAGAAAGAAAAAAAGAAAGAAAAAAAAAAATTGAAATGCCCCTTAGCGTTTAATAATTATTTCGAACACTGACAATTTTGAGGGGAAGTAATTCTAGGTTTGATAAGATATTCGGAATTATCCGCCCAATATATATTGTTTGGTTATAATGATTTGGGCTGGTTTTGAAAATAATTGTGTGAAATAATATATAATTATAATTTTGTGTGTTGATATGTGTATGGGTAAATGGAAGGCACTTGTTAGGAGAAGATCTTGGCCCACTAAGTGTTAAGGAATTGCAGAATCTTGAAAAACAAGTTGAAGGAGCCCTTGTTCAGGCTAGGCAAAGGAAGGTACAGCGTATATATGATTATTTTAATTTGGAGTACCAATATTATTTGAACATCTAAATTCAATTGTGTTTTTCAGTAACTAAAAAGATCGTGGACCAATTTATAGTTTGATGTTGACCATCTCTAAGTATTATGCAGACCCAGATTTTAATGGAACAAATGGAGGAGCTCCGCACAAAGGTAATTTTTATTTTATTTTTTATTTTTTTTTTCTTCTAGCTTAATTAGTAAAAGTCAGAAATTTGGTCGTTTCTAGTAACTAATAAAGTACATGTGTGATTAGAGATGTTAAATGGTCTTTGGCCCGACAGGTCGTTCCGTTTGACCCAAAAAAAGCAGGGTTAGTGCCTTTTATTGGCAGTCCGTTTAAATTTGGACTTTTCAGGCTCTGACCGTTTAGCCCGAAGCCCACTAGGGCTAGTCCGTTTACTTTGGGTTGAGTGGTGTATATGTTTTTTGAACAGTAAGGAATATGTCTCATGATTTCTTATATATTACAATTTTGCTATTCTACTTCACATGTAATTATGAGTTATAATGTAAGTATTATTATTATTTTGATAGATAATTACTAACAATTTTTATTCTACTTCACAGCAAAATATTTAAGCCAATCAGAACGATTAATAAAAAACAAATGAGACACGGACCTAACACATAGAATATAGTGATAGCACATAAATTCAACAGTATGATATATTGAGAAAATCCCCGAAGCGTACCAAATAACTAGTCAAATGTTAGTTATAAATAATAGTTCGAACATTTTTTTCTATTGAGAAATAATATGTTATTTAATAGTTTGTAATGTGTGTTCATATATGAAGTGTAGTTGTATATATATAGTGGTAAATATTAAATAACCATTGAAAAAAACCGTTAACTAGGTGTTGTAATTTATTATTATTATTATTATTATTATTATTATTATTATTATTATTATTATTATAGCCCGTTTAGCCCGAAGCCCGCTAGGTTTAGGGTTAGGTCATTTTATTGGTAGCCCGTTTAAATTCGAGCTTTTTAGGCCCGAACCGTTTAGCCCAAACCCCACTAGGGCTAGCCCGAAACCGCTAGGGCTAGCCCGTTTAACATCTCTACGTGTGATGCATGTGATACATAATTAATATTTTATTGTAATTTTATATTATATTTTCTCTTTTATACTTTCATGGTCTATTCAATTTTTTGTATTATTATTTTTTATTAATCAAACAACAGAAATTATATAATGAACTGTGTTAAGCATATCGACAGTTGAAAAACATTTTTCAACATAATAATATTTGAAAGTCATGGTGAAAAAAATTGCATTAAAATTTTGGTTGACATAATTTCACTATCTAAATGTTTGTAGTTTTTAGCCGAGTACGGAATAAAATCTCGACTTCGGGTCGTATCTCTCGAGTAAGGTTGTTCGAAGCTTCGTTCACTATCTAGTCGTCAAATCACAAAACCGAAAATAAGGTCCTAAACATGCTACTCGCTTTATTTAGGGTGAACTTAAGCTAATTTTGCACTAAGAATTGAAATCACTTGAAAGCAATTAAAGAAGATGGGATTTTGAAAGAAAAGATTCGAACTAAGGTTGCACTTAGTCTCCACATCTCAAAAAAACAAAAATCAACTAACAGAGACATGCGAGCAAAGTGATCTTAGGTAATCTAACACGAGCTTTCTTCACTAAATCATCACGCTTTGAGCAAAGTCGAGACCTTTATACAAGATAAGCATGTATTGAATTCCCAACACACGTAAGGAAGCAATGAAAAATAAACCAAGTCCTAAAATCGAGCATAGACACAAGATTCCGACCAAAACACCAACTTAACAAACAAGAAGGAAAACAAATTCAAAGTAAAAAGCCCTAATCAAGATACTTACTCTCCTATCGCAAGCTCGGATGAAAATAATGCTAAAAGCCCGAATATTGAAGAAAAATAAAGTCGCCGGAATTTTGTCGGAAAAATTGAATCATGGACCTCCCAACACAAAGCTAAAGAAAAAAATAAAGAGAGAGAGCTCATTTCCCAACTAAAAAGTTGAGAAATGAGGGGTGATGTCCAAAAAATACAAAGCAAGATATCTATATATAGCTACACCACAAACACACATTAAAAAACACACACATTTAGTAGAAAACACTCGCGACGTGGCTACAACTCCGGCAAGGTCGTGAGTTCGCAGGCCTGTGACCGCGTGTTGCAACGCGGTAAAATTATAATTTATATTTTTCCTCAGCTAACCTCTACTAAGTAGTAGCAGCGACAAGTAACGGTCAATCCCACGAGGAGTGTGAATCAAATTTTGAATTTGATCGTATTAATTGAAATTATAAAAGCGATAAAAGGGGGGATTGAATTTAATAGCTAAATTAACTAAAATCCTAATAAAGCAACTAACATCTAAACAATGAAAATAAAAATAAAAATAAATAAATGAAGAGAACTTTCCAGTTCATGGTTCCGTCTACACCCTCGACCAACTCGTCTAATCAACTTTGGTATCAAATCTCACTATCATGGAATTACTAGCCCTAGGTAACGACACGGACTGCTACCAGAATTTTTCTTTATTTTTAATTTAACCGCGAGACGCTCTACGATTAAACCTGACTTCTTGTACAATCCAAAAAAACGTTTTCAAGATTTAATATAATTAGCCGCTTTACGAATTAGAAAAATAGGCTAGACTAAGGAGTGAACTCAACCGCGTTCGTTCACTTAAATAGGTCGCGTTATCCCCGCTAGTTACCATCTTCCGGTTGCCTCTCCTTAATCAAACACAACGACAATTACAGATTGAAGGTCTAATTCTAGCTATAGATATGAAAAGTCTTATATAGGTGATCAATCTAAATAAAATCAAACACATCATGGTTGCTCAGTCAAAATAAAAAGCACAATTCCAAAAAGATATTGAAATTCTTAACCACGAAAATCAATTAAACATCGTCAAATCATAGGGTTCGACATCCCTGGAACTAGAAATAAAATCTACTCTAACATACTAAAAAAAAGTAAAAAATAAAAGAGAGAGATTAATTATCTCCCTCGTGTGCGGGTGCGGTCTCCCTCCGCAATTCGTCGGGTTCCTCGTGCTCTTCTTCTCTGCTCGTGACGACTTTTTTTCTTCTGTTTCTGCATGGCGGCGTAAATAATTTACTCCTAGTCGGTTTTTTTTTCTCGCACCTCTCTCCTATGATATATATACCCAACAAATAAATTTTTCTTTCCTAAAATGATTTCTACCAGACTTGATTCTCCAATTGGCACTTGGCAGCCAATTAATTCCACCCCCAATTGATTAGGAGTTAATTAATTCCCCAAGGCCTGCGTGAATCCTTGTTTATGTAGGTCTTCAAATCTAATTTGGACTTTTTATTTAACTTGTGGCTTAGTTTTGACCGTTCAAGAAGCAATTTTATACTAATGTAGTCAATTCTCGTTTGATACCACAGTCGCCCGTAAAAATACTCAAATATCCTGAAAATAAATCATAAAAATATCAAAGCAAATAACTCCATCTAAACAATAAATAGGTCGAAAAATATATAAGTGCGATAAAATTAAGCATATAAAAATACGTTAATAAATATATAAAATACACACTTTCTTCGATCAATCAGCCTGGTACTCGCGCGGTCGTGGGCTGGTCCGCTGGCACGCGGGTGCGCGGGTCGGTAGTCGCCCGAGTCGCAAGCGCGCGGGCGCTGTCGAGG